TTCAATCAGTTCCTGGTGCACAAGACTTTGTAGTGAAAGAAACAAGCCCTACTCTTGGAGGGGGCAAAGTTGTTGGTGGAAGGGTCATTCCTGGGAGCAAGCCAGCCACATCCAGCAGCTATGACCTTGTTGAATCAATGAAATACCTTTTTGTAAGAGTTGTAAAAGCCCGTGACCTTCCTTCAATGGATATCACAGGTAGCCTTGACCCCTATGTGGAGGTCAAGATGGGGAATTTTGTAGGAACTACCAATCACTTTGAGAAAAACCAAAACCCTGAATGGAACAAGGTGTTTGCCTTTGCCGAGGAGAATCAGCAATCCTCTATTCTAGAAGTTACAGTCAAAGACAAGGACCGAATATCAGATGATATTGTTGGAAAAGTGTGGTTTGACATGCCTGAAGTTCCTATACGTATTCCACCTGATAGTCCATTGGCTCCCCAGTGGTATAGGATTGAAAACAGAAATGGAGAAAAGAAAGGGGAGTTGATGCTTGCTGTTTGGAGAGGCACACAAGCTGACGAGTCTTTTCAAGATGCTTGGCATTCTGATGCAGTAGTCATCCCTGATGGAAGAACTATATCAAACTATTCTCAGATTCGATCAAAAGTTTATATGTCCCCAATATTATGGTATGTACGAGTCGAAGTGGTTGAGGCACAGGACTTAGTTGCATCTGACAAGACTAAACTTCCAGATGCCAGTGTTAAGGTACAAATTGGAAACCAGATTTCGAAGTCAAAGTCAATAAGGGGCGTGAACCCGCAGTGGAGTCACAAGGCGTTGTTTGTTGCTGCATATCCTTTTGAAGAATCTTTGATCTTTACAGTTGAAGATCGCGTTGGTAACAAGGATGAGACTATAGGCAATCTTGTTCTTCCTATAAGCAAAATTCCTAAGCGCATTGATGATAAGGTTGTCCATAGTGATAGTGGTTGGTTTCTTCTTGAGAAGTCCATGACATCTGCTATGAATGAGCAAGGGAAAGGCAAAGAGTCAGAGAAGGATAAGGACAAGTTCTTCAGCAGAATCCATGTTATTGCCTATCTTGAAGGTGGATACCACGTCCTAGACGAGTCAACTTATTACAGTAGTGATCTCAGGCCATCCTCAAGGCAGCTTCATAAGAAGCCAATTGGTGTCCTAGAACTTGGTATTTTGAATGTTGATGTGTTATTACCACCCAAAACTAGGGACGGAAGGGGAACATCGGATACATACTGTGTGGCAAAGTATGGCCGTAAATGGGTGCGCACCAGAACCATTGTTAACAATCTAAACCCAAAGTTCCATGAGCAGTACACTTGGGAAGTTCATGATACAGCTACAGTTCTAACCTTGGGGGTGTTTGATAATGCCCAGATTCACAATTCTTCAAATGGTAACAAGGATTCTAAGATTGGAAAGGTTCGGATAAGGATCTCAACTCTAGAAGCTGACCGCGTTTACACTCACACATATCCACTATTATCGCCGCAAAACTCTGGTCTCAAGAAGTATGGTGAAGTGCACTTGGCCATACGTTTCTCATGCAACTCAATGTTTAACATGATGAGTTTGTATTTCAAACCCCATTTGCCAAAAATGCACTATACAAAGCCCCTTAACATTATTGAACAGGAAAAGCTGAGAATTCAGGCTGTGCTCATTGTGGCAGCTAGATTAGGCAGGGCAGAACCCCCTCTCAGAAAGGAAGTGGTTGAGTACATGTCAGACACAGACTCTCACCTATGGAGCATGCGGCGAAGTAAGGCCAACTTCAACCGTCTGAGAGAAGTGTTTTCCTTCGTATTTGACATTGCAGATTGGTTTGGAGAAGTTGCCAAATGGAAGAACTCTTTTGTGACAGTGCTGGTGCACATTCTGTACTCAATGTTTGTGTGTCTCCCAGAACTTATTCTACCGACAATATTCCTATACATGTTTGTGTATGGAATGTGGAAATGGAGGTTCCGTGCAAGATTCCCTCCTCACATGAATGCTAAGATGTCTTGTGCTGACATAACAACTCCTGAGGAGTTTGATGAGGAGATGGACACTTTTCCAACCACAAAGAGTGCAGATATAGTGCGTTGGAGATATGACAGATTGAGAAGTTTGGCAGGGAGGGTTCAAAGTGTTGTTGGACAGATAGCAACTCAAGGAGAAAGAGTCCAAGCTCTTCTGAATTGGAGGGATCCACGTGCCACTTCCATATTCATGGTGGTGTGCCTTGTGACTGCCATAGTTTTGTATGTGATACCACCAAAATTGCTGTTTATTCTATCAGGACTTTACCTAATCAGACACCCTAAGCTTAGGGAAAAGACACCAGCTGCACCAGTCAATTTCTTCCGCAGGTTGCCTGCTCTCACAGATACAATGCTGTAAATATAGACCCTTGGTTTCTGCAAACAACTTTTTCTGCTATCAATATTTAAATCTGGTGTAAGCCCTTTTGGCAAGTCTTTTGTTCCCTGACTCATGATTGTTGATTCAAATCTACACTTGCTGTGGACAATTCAAATATAGTATTGTTTCTCTGTTCTGCATTAAGGATTACATCAGATCAGATGCTTGTAGTGAAATTGTTGGCAGGTAAAAAGAAGAAAATTGGAATATTTTGAGTAAAGAATTTATGAACAGTCTAAAATATATCTACAGTACTTTATAATAAGAAAGTATCAGATATGTTAAGAAATTAAACTGATGATTAGAATGTGGACAATAGAGGCTAAATAGACAAATAAACACACACTTGTTCATTTTTACAATTTTCGTGAAAAGGACTATGGAGTGTGATGTTTTACCAACTTTTCATAGAGACTGCATCTTCATTTTTTATGCGGATTGAATTGTTGAACTTTGATTATTTTGTTTTAATTTAATGTGCAAGTGTGATGTTTGAGTAAGATGTATACTTATCACAAATGGCTATATACGTAACAGGTGAAGACCAAAGAAATATATTTAAAATGCCGACATAATGTAATACATAAAATGCACAAAAGTGACAAGTTTATATGTATCTTAAACAACATTTCTTAGCTTATATATACAAATTTCTTCATCCATAAGCTTGCAACGCATCACCCAAAAAAAATAGTAAGGGAAAAAGGAACCAACTATCATGACTTGTAAAACCAGATCGGACTAGAAACTGCTATGTTCTGTATGATTTGCTAGAAAAGCAAATTCAATTTTTTCTTAAAAGAACAAGAATCAATTAAAAATATTATTTTGTTATTTTATTATAAATTTATAATTGTTAATAATTCTTCATGTATATTATTAAAATTTCAATTTAAAATATCAAACATATGTTTAATATATTTTTTTAAATATTTAATAATATATGAATTTCTAGTGAATTTCCATGTGACTTATTGTCTGGTGCCAATATGTTGTATGAATATGATTAAGCTCTTATTTTTTTGTCTTTATATCCGTAACAATGTGTATATATATTTTTATTTATTTTTTTGTCAATGTGACTTTTATAAAAAAAAAACTCTACCAGATCGCGTCAAGAAGAAAATATAAGAATCAAATTAAAAATAAATATATAGAAGAACTATTGAATTATTGATACGATAAAAATTCAATATAAGAATCAAGTAAAATATAAAGACAGAAAAACTATTGAATGATTGATACAAAGAAAAAAATCTATTAATTTTAAAGTTAATAATTGGTTTTAATAATAAAAGAAAATTGTTCATCTTAAAACAAAGTTTATAACCTCATAAATGTTTACTCTTGCCATAGATTTCATAGCCAAAGTTGAGTGTAATTTCCAATAAAATTAAAGTTATAAATATACTTATTATTATTATTATTATTATTATTATAATATCAATATTGATAATTATATACTTGTTTGGTATATAATATTGATAATTATATACTAAACAAGTATAAAAACTAAATTAATAATTAAAATAAGAGTTGGATTTCTATTTTATTAATTTAAGAAAATATAAAGTTCTCATTTATTAAAAATTATATTTGGTAAAAGAATTATTACGAAAATAAACAATTTTTTTTATGATGAAATACTAATAACTAAAGAGCAATATGTTTTTACATAATACTTTTTCTAAACTTAAATATAAAAATGTATAATTTTACAGTGATTGAAAATCCAACTAAGTTTATTAAAAAATACTGCATTTATCAAAATACTATCAATCATATTTTCCGGATATCATACATTTAATATTTTTTAAATACCTCAAATGTGTTTCTTATAGATCAGTATACGCTTTACTCTTGTAAAACACAATTACAATTGATTTTGTTGGATAATTAGATTACTTTATTGGAATTTGTTGGGCTTTTATTTAGTGCCCTAAAGATTGGTTCCTGAGAAATCTAGTGAGCGTGTATTCAAAAAATTAATTTTAACATAATTTTTTAAATATAAATTATAAAGTATGTATGTATTTTTTTAAATAATACTTTTATTTAAAAAATACAATTATTATTTATAAAATAATATTTTGGTTATTATCAAATGGAAACTAAAAACAATGATCGTATATTAAGTTAGACGTAAAGAAAATAAAGTTATAGATACTTAATTATTTTAATATTATTAGTTCAATTTGTGTGTTTATTTTTCTACGATAACAAAAAGTAAAAAAAATATTACTATAATAATTTATTAAAATAAATATATTATTAAATTAAAATCATAAAAAATAGTTATAAAAACGAGTATAAATATTTAGATAGCTTTATTTGTTTTATAGATAATTTTTTAATTTAAAAAAGTATCATTTAAAAGATAACATAATAAAAATTTATGTATAAAAAGATTTATTTATTAATGTTATAAATAAATTTAAATATTCTCATAATTTTGCTATTGATAGTTTTATTTATTTTGTAGATGATTGTTTTATTATATTAATTATTTTAATTTCAAAAAATGATTGTAGAAGATAAAAAAATAGAATAGGGATACTATTAAGAGAATTCCTTTATTATTCTTCACATTTAACTTCACCCTAGTCAAACACCTTTTTGTTTTGGTTTTATGAATTAGGTTTTGTCGTAGTCTCAGGCTCAAGGTCTTGTTCATTGGTACATGTTTACAGTTGCACTTTGAATTCGCATCAAACTTCTCAACTCTGTGGTTTCGCTAATTTCAGGTACTCACTATTTCTTTTCATCAATTTCTCTTTCGATTTTTCTGCATTGATGCTTTTGTGCATGGGAGCTTCTCTCAGTGGCTTTGAATGTGGCCGGGGCTCAGAATTCGGAAAATGAGAGAGTCAAGAGTTTTATTGTGTACCTATTCATCGATTTGCACTTTTTTTTCTTTCAATGCATTGTGTTTGGGCTTCATATGGAGAGCTTCAATTGTTTGTTCTTCCGGATTACCCCTTGAGTTAAAACATGATTAGGAAACTGGTTGATTTAGTTTATGTTTTGACTAAAGTTCGAGGGGGTGAAAGTTTATCTTGTTTTCTCTTTCCCAAGTAGTACATTTTTGCTAAAGTTTTGGCATTCTTTTGTTTTAACCCTTTTATTCTGCTTCCTTTGGTTTTCCAGCAGTGCAAGGTTGACAGTGCAGCTTTCCTCTTGTTTCTTCTTTTTGAGTTCACTCGTTCTAGTATTTTGGGTTCCCCAAGGTGGGGCGTAAAGGATTGGGATTTCAATGGACATTGATAGACCTGACGGCCGGAGTCCTAATCAACTTAGACCCCTGGCCTGCTCATGTTCTGTCCTGCATCGTGCCCATGGCTCGTCCAGTTGGGCTCAAGGAGAAACCAAAGTGCTTGCTGCTGTTTATGGACCCAAAGCTGGAACCAAGAAGAATGAAAATCCTGAAAAAGCATCCATTGAAGTTATTTGGAAACCGAAGACTGGACAAATTGGTTGGAACAATGCTAAACTCATCTCTTTCTTTTCATTTTAAAATAAAAATTTAATATCTGTTTTCCTTGGTTTAGGAAAAGTGGAGAAGGAGTATGAAATGATATTGAAGAAGACTTTGGAAAGCATTTGCATTCGAACGATATATCCCAACACCACAACTTCAGTTATTGTCCAGGCGAGTTTTGTTCTCAGTATTGGAAATGTGGTTTGTTACATATTTTATAATTAGTTAAACTCAAAAAACTTGGTGCAGTGCAGCTATGTTTTATTTTATTTTATTTCTTACTAGGATAATAACTATTCTCTTCAGCTGTTGTTTTGTGTGAATGTTGTCAGTTAAAATTAGAATTTTATTTGCTTGTAAATATATTATGATATATGTTATTTGTGTTTATTGATAACTTAACTTTTCACTCATTGATTCTACTGCAGGTTCTCAATGATGATGGTGCTGTATCCTACTTAAAAGTTCAGTTCTAATATGTTTGATATGGTAATTGTTTTTTTATGATATGTTTGGGTGGGGGAAGAAGTGGAAATAGGGTTGACGAATTTGAATCGGTTATTTGGTATATTATGGAAATAGGAAGGAGAGAATTAAAAGGTGAATTGGTCCCACCAATACTTTTTCTCTCTATTTTTTTACCTTAGTGTGCTCTTCTCTCTCTCTCTCTCTCTCTCTCTCTCTCTCTCTCTCCTGGTTTCTTCTCGATTTCTCTCCAACGAAATAAAATTAAATTTTTCTTTATTTCTCACTTTTTTTTTTCAATCATCATTTTTATATTTATTCACTTTATTTCTACACCAAACAGACCCTTAAGGTTATGATATTGTGTACTTTTACTTCAACCTCCCTTTTAATTTCGGCATTCTTCACTTTATGGTTTGATTTGATTCATTGTGACATGTATTCCCTTAGGATTTTAGTCTGATGGTGGAAGGACAACACAACTTGTGTTTCTATTTCAACGCCATTTTAAGTGGTTAATGCTGGACCATTATTTTACTTGACCATTGTTATACTCTCTTCAAACTTGAAGGATAAGACCAATTCTCTTGATGCATGTGGTTCTGTAATAGTTCTTTATTTCTCTGTGAAAGATTACTGCTATTTTTCTAATCCAATTTTATGGGTATTTCTGAAAGAACAAATTAGATAGGTGTTGGGTAGTGGACTGGTATACGGTCATTCTGTTCGGGGGGTGTAAGGGAAAAAACAGAGAATAGAATAATCTGGAAAGAAAAACAGGACAGAGAAGGAGAAATTCGGAAGAGGCACGTAATAATTCTTTCTTATT